GCCCGGCCGGCGAGTGGATCAAACAGCTGGCCGGCGACCCGAAAGTCGCGAGTGCAGCGCTCGACCTGGTCCCTGACGTCTTCTCGGTGCGGGTGAGGCTGGAGGAGACCGGGGAGATGTTCCGGGTGGCGAACTGCCGCGGCAACATGACCGTTCGAGAGCTCAAAGAGGACCTGGACCTGATGGTCGGCATCCCCTTCGACCTCCAGCGGCTCCAGTACTTGGACCAAGGTTCTGCGGCTCGACCCATTCCCACCTTAGAAGCCTCCCTCGGACCACTTCGGCCCTGAGTCCCAAAGTCCTACCTATCGGAGGACCCCAGATGTCAAAGCAAACCCCAGGTGGAGGCGCCATCTGGGGTGTGGCTACATAGGGACTTCCGGAGCCCCAACTCGCTGGGTTAGCATTAGACCCCGAATCTCAAAACAAGCCTGGTCCAGGGCAGGACACCGGTCCACAGACAGATTCTTTCTGTGCTAGGCGACATCTACCAACCTTGCACAAATCTTGTTCATACTAGAACCCAGATCTCAAAGCTACAGTAGGACACCCCACCTGGTCTTCAGTTCCCCATCCCTTCATAAAGGACTCAAATCCCTGAAACAGCCAGGTTTACATAAGATGTAAACTTGAAGCAAAATCTGTTCTCAGTAGGACCCTGACACCCAGCGCAAACCTGCCCCAGAGCCCCAGCAGCCACACTTCACAGCCCTCTGTGCACATTCATGACGGTTTCTGTGTATAAATTCCTCCAGGCGGTCAGGCTCCAACTGGCCATGCTGCACTTGTGAACATCAGAAACCCAGTTTCTTTGGCCATCTGTGCCCATACAAGGATGCCACAACTCCCTAAAACCTGGACCCCAAAACCTGGAATAAGCCTGCCCAAGACAAGCCCATATCCACAGGCTAACCACTTGACCATCAGAACCCAGAGATCTCCACATGCAAGTCCATATGTGGAGGCCAAAGCCCGAAGCACATCCCGTCACCTCAAGGCCCCTTGATCTCCACACACTCTGCCATGTCTGACCCTCAAGCTCCAAGCTGTCCCTGAGCACAGCAGAACCCTGAACCCCAGGGCAGACTCCTCTCACATCGCAACCCTAAGTCCAGAGCAGGTGTGTATTCGGAGCCCCGACCTCCCTCTCACCATCTGTGCTTCAGACCCCAGTCTGTCAGCCAAAGCCCAGGATGAACCCTGCCCACATCTGGACCTACAAATCCAAAGCCGAACCTGTCCACATCTGAAAGCTAGTCCCGAGTTCACCATGACCGTACCAGAACCTCAAAACTCAAGTCAAACCTGCCCATATCTGAGCTCCTGATCTCCGCAGAAACCAGTCTACATGTGCACTCCAAGACAAAGCCAATCATGTCCGTGAAGAAAGTCAGGGTTCAAAACAAAGATTTTGCCCACGTCAGGACCCTGGAACTCAGAGCAAACTTTGTATTTGGAACTCAAATCTTTTTAGCCAGAATCTACCCATACCAGAATCTGAAATTCTAGACCAAACCCTGCCCATATTAGGACCCCCAAATCCTGGAGCAGATTCTGTGACCATGAAGACCCCACATCTCGGCAGACTTGCCTGATCCCTGACCCCCATGGCTGTGCTACCCAGGGCTATATAAGAACTCTGAGTCCAAAACCAAGTTCTGGCCATACAAGGACTCCAAATCAAACCAGGACCTCCAAACAAGCAGCAAACCTTGCTGTCATCAGAACCCAAGTCCAGAGTGACTTCTGTCCTCATGAAGACCCTGGCCCACATTTGAATCTTCAGCGTTGGCCCAAACCCAGTTTATATCAGAACCCAGAATTCTAAGCTGTGCCCTTGCTCAGGATCTCGGAGCTGCCCCAGCTGGAGTTGGAACCCAGGAGCTGTAGCTGCATCACTAAGCCAGGACCCCTAGTCCCCTATCCAGATAGATCTCACATGGGTGGTACCTGGGGAGGCCAAGGGCCCTAGCACCCTCTTCTCCCTCATTCTCCTTCCCTCACCCTGAAGATGTAGCTTCCCTGTCCCAGTTGGCTGTGACATTTACGTTATGAGAACAGGATCAAAGCCCCGGGCTCCACCATCTGGTTGAAATCAGTGCAAAAGAAAATAAAGAGATACAAAAATCTCTGCACTGCTGCACGGAGCAGCCAGTCTTGCAGAGGGACTGCGGTTGGATTGCGGGGCCATGCAGCAGCCCATCTGCACCAGCTCTGGGGCACTGTCCTTCCTGGGCTCCATTTCCTATCCATAGAGCAGAGCCCCATCACCTCGAGAAGCCTCCTGGTCACTCCCTCTGTGGACAAAAATGACTCAGGAAACTCCAGGTGGGTAAGGGAAGCCACAGCTCCTTTCTCGGCCCTCTTTCCAGTAGGCTGAACATTTTTCATAACATTTCTTTTCCTATAGCAATATTTGAAACAGGCTCTTGGCTGCTTTTTTTTGTACCGGGGATCAAACTCCTGTCCTTGCACTTGTGAGGCAGCACCTCTGAGCTAAATCCCCGGCCCTCTTGGAGGCTTTTTTTTTCTGCAACAAGTGTGCCTTGAGTCTAGCCTGCAATTAACATGCTGAGAATGAGGCGAATTGTTAAGGACTGAGTTCCCCCAAAAACTTGAAAATTATGACTCCCCAACTACAAATGTCTGGCCCCCTTCTGTTCTTTGTGTTCCTCAGGAAAAGCCAGCTTTCCCTAAGCATTTTCAATTGTTAGGCAGTCGAGTTGTCTCAGACCAATTACTGATTATCTTCTGCTCTCAAACCACAAGTAAGACCCAATGAACAGATTTGCTCTTCGGTATCCTCTGTTTACATGCATCCTCCTGAGGTTCTGCTACCCAGATGCTCTGCCAGGACAGCCCCGGGCACATGGTGTGTGGCACCGAAGGGGGCAGGTCGGCCGGGAGTGGCTGGATGGGCCTCCTGCGTGGGCAGATGGAGGTCTGCTCACCTTGGAAGGTTGTCCTGGGGACGAAGGGATGCAGTGTTCAGCACGAGAACGGTCAGCACTAGAGTACTTTCTAGTAGGCCCAGGGGAGTCTCTCCACCGTAAGGAGGACACTTACCAGTTCCGCCCCTCAGACGTATGGCAGGGCTGAGATTTGATGTTGGCTATTGCTTACGAAAAGAGCACATTCTACTCTTGCTTTAAGAGTGCAGCTGGCCGTGCTACCACCAAGATAAACGAGGTACAACTGCCCTTTCTCCTCAAAATGTCCCTGGGAGAATTCTCTTCTGAAGTCCCCCCAGAGTCTGGATGCGTGGCGTGCGTGGAGCTCAGCCTGCTCTTTCAAGAACGAGATGCCATGCTGGGTAATGGCAGGCGCCTCTGGCCCTCACATCCGGGAGTGGAAAATGTCAACCTTGGCTTCTTACATACCCGCGAGTCTGCTTTGGGACCGTCTTGGCCTCCACGTTGCCATTGGCAACGTCTGGAGCCATGTTGACTGTAAGAACTGGATGGTAGGTGATGTTGGCTTCCCCTGGGCAGAGGCCAGAGAAGCTGCAGCTGTGTGGGACAGAATTATTTCGTCCAAAATGTCACTAGTACCACGCTCGACAAGCCCTGCCGTAGGCTGTCATTTGAATTATCCAACCATTTTGTGGGGTCACCGTCACCTCTTTAGTCAGCTAACGGCAGCATTTAGCAGAATTGATATTTTAGTCGAATGTATATAACTTGTGTAAGTACATTGTGCTCTGTCTTAATATATAGTTACTTCAGGCTTAAGTAGTTCTATTTGTAAAGTTTACCTCAGAAAATGACTTTATTGACTCATGTATTTTTTTCACAACAGGACAAGTTGTAATTACAGAATTTTATAAATTGTTGCCCTTGTTTTTTCTATTTGTTTTGTTTTGTTGTGTTTGTGGGCCAGCTTTTGTCTGAGCTGAGCCAAGTTACTTTTCTAAAAAGGCATCAATGACAGCAAGCAGACTCATGTAGAATCATCAAGTAAGATATTTTTGGTTCCAGATCCTAAAATGACCTTTGTGATATCTAAGGTTAAATAATCTCTTCACCAATGTAATATTTTTTTCTGCAGTACACAATTTTTTTAAAGGAAAGCTTGTTCCCCATAGGAGATTTAATGGACAACACCACCCTGAAGTTTCATGACGTCCTGCCTGGGAGTACTCTTTCCCTGCGTATTTGGCACTACGATGGTTGGACAGATCTGGTTGTGGCAGCAGTGGAAGGAGACCCCAGTAAGGTGTTTTCATGCTTCTTTGAATGCATGTTACATGAAGCAACCACAAATTGTGAGGGGAAATCCGTCTCTGGTATGAGTGTTTGAGTAAAGGCTTCAGAGCAGGAAAAAAAAAAAAAAGATAAGGACTCATGTCAGGATTGTCAAACCCCATCCGTGCCTCCTCTCATGCTGGGTTTATGAGTTTACTGGGCTTTGTCATGGTTTATAGACCAACTCACCCCCAACAGGAGTCAAGGGAGCCCATTTTCCCTTCCTGTGGCAAGTCTAAAAAAATTGAAAATCTTTTCTTTCTTTCTTTTTTTTTTTTTTTCGGTGCTGGGGATTGAACTCGGGTCCTGTGCTTGCAAGGCAGGCCACCGAACCACTGACCTAAATCCCCAGCCCTAAAAAATTGAAAATCTAATTTAACGCTCATGAAGAGCCCCAGATAATTTGGAGAAGTGCAGCCCGAGCTCGGCCGTGTGTGTGACAGAGACACAGGAGTCTGCCTCCTTCCTGGGAGTCCAGGGCCTGGGGACAGCAGCAGGCATCTGCTGTTTCCAAGTCTCCTGCTGGGCTTTCTGCTGGCTCTGGGGTGGGAAGGGAAGGAGGATGGAGACCAGGATGTTTACTCATGGGGAGGACGTCACTGGCGAGGCCCTGGCCAGTGCATTCTCTAGAGAAGAGGTTCGGTGGGGAGAGGAGCTGGAGTTTCCATGCAGGGAGGGTGCGAGGGGAGCCAGGTGCCAGAGGCTGCTGGGATTCAGTCAGAGAAGAGTGGGTGGGTGGCTGGGCAGGCGGGGCCAGGACCCCACGGCCCTTCTCGATCACAAGCACCAGGTCGTGGCTGGAGGGGCCAGGGTCCCGTCCGTGCATTTTACTCTCCCGGTAGCTCCCCTGCTTTCCCTCCTGTCACCCTCCTCTCGCTGCCCTTGTAACCCTTCTTTCACCAATGAGTCGGCCTGGGCCTCTGGCTTCCTGACTCTTGCTCTGGATGCGGGGCTGTTTTCCTCCTGTTTGGGGTCCCGAGTCAGAACTTCCATCAGCACCCCTTCTGCGCTTCCCTGCCGTCCCTCCACTGGACCCCAACATCTGGGTCACAGCTCCTCACTACTGTGGGACCCCACAGCCTTCCTCCCACGCTCAGTTCTCCTGTGAGTGAGTGCAGGGTCCCCAAAGCCAACAGAAGCAACAGCCACAGAAACAGAGCCGAAGGCCGGGCCCCGCTGTGTCTCCAGGAGGGCAGCCCCACTTCCCAGGTCCTCGCCGGGGCGGCGCGTGTCTCCCTGCAGGACGACGACTGCCTTCCCCTGGGCATCAGCAAAGCTACTTCTCTCTTCCGAACACTGCCAGGAGTCCCAGCCTGACGGATGGTACCTGCGTGTCCTTCACCCTCCAATCCCTCCACTCAGCGTTGGGATCTGTGTCACTCCTTCCCCACCTCGGACCTTGGACCAAGACGGTGCAGGGCCAAGCCGATCCCCTGAGCAAGCCCCGCCAGCCTCTACCTCTCTGCCCTGCTCTCTACAATGACCTGTGCTCTGGGAATAACCACACTGCGGTTCTTTTGCCCAGCTGTCCTGTCTCGGGATCACTGAGGATTCTTTCTACCGAACTGAGACTTCCAGACATCTTGAGGGTGACAAGTGGAGGCAGTGGACATCTCAGAGGGCCTTTGTGGCCCTGTACATCACCTCCCACAGAGGCCATTCTGACGCTGTGCGGTACCTTCTAGAACATGGTAATCCTGGCAGTAGCTAGCTGTAGTCAAAGCCAGGGTGGGGGAGTGCTGACTCCTAGGCAGTGCTTCTGCGTCTCTTCTGCGGTGGTTTTCTGCCCCGAACCTTGTCACCCACCAAGCAGGGTCCCTGTGGGCTCATCCTCCCCATCTGGGTGCTGTCTGGAAAAGTGCCAGTGGCCCTGCCCTTCTGTGCACCGCATCTCTAGACGATGCAGGGCACCAAGCCACAGAGAGCAGCCACAGGGTTTCCCGGCTTGGCTTTTCCATAAGCCAGGCTGCCAAGAGCAGCTCTTGCTGTTGGAATTCTGCCCTGGCCCAAGCTGGCCCGGCCTCAGGCCAGCAGGGCTCTTCTCTCCTCCTCCTGCTCCTCCTGCTCCTCCTGCTCCTCCTGCTCCTCCTGCTCCTCATCCTACTGGGCACCAAGCCACAGAGAGCAGCCACAGGGTTTCCCGGCTTGGCTTTTCCATAAGCCAGGCTGCCAAGAGCAGCTCTTGCTGTTGGAATTCTGCCCTGGCCCAAGCTGGCCCGGCCTCAGGCCAGCAGGGCTCTTCTCTCCTCCTCCTGCTCCTCCTGCTCCTCCTGCTCCTCCTGCTCCTCCTGCTCCTCATCCTACTTCCTACTCCATTCAGGGGAACTCAGTCTCTGTCCGTTGATAGAAACAAAACCCTTAGCAGCATCGACTCTGAGCTAAAGCTCTTTGTGTGAGTTTCCGCAGGGGCCAACTTTCTCCTCTCTGCGTGTGGGATGTGTGTGTGTGGGGGAATGGTATCCACTATCACGCAGGCCATTCAAAAACAATAGAGAATAGCTGGGCACGGTGATGCGTGCCTGTAATTCCGGCACTCTGGGATGCTGAGGCAGGAGGACTGAGTTTAAACCCAGCCTGGGCAACTTGGTGACTTAGCAAGACTCTCTCTTAACAAAGAAAGAAAGAAAAAAATTGCTGGGCAGGGGATTTAGCTCAGTGGCACTGCCTGCCTTGGAAGTGCAAGGTCCTGAGTTCAATCCCCGGTACCAAAATTAAAAAAAAAAAAAAGAAAGAAAAAGGGGCAGGGGATTTAGCTCAGCGGTGGCCTTGCAAACACAAGGACCCGAGTTCAATCCCCGGCACTGGAAAAAAAAAAAAAAAAAAAAAAAAAAAAAAAAAAAAAAAAGAAAGAAAAGAAAAGGAAAGTGCTAGGGACGTAGTTCAGTGCAAAGGCCCTGGGTTCAATCCACAGTACCGAACAACAAAGATACTCCAAAGCAAGCAGACAGTAGTTGCAGACAGCCCAGGCCACCCTGGAGTCTGGTCTGAGGTCTCACTCCTGCTCTTGCCCACACCCACCCTCTCTCCTGCCTGCTCCTCTCCGTGTCTTGCTGTTTCCCACCCACAGCGCAGAGAGCAGCTCGCGTGCTGGGGGCAGGATGATAGGGCTGCCTGCCGGCCCTGAAACCTGAGTGGGTTCAGGCAGCACTGCTGTTCTCTGCTTCCTCCGTGGTGTTTCTGCTCCTCTCCTGTTAGAGGATAAAATATGGGCTTTCCACAGCCCAGCAGTCTTTTAAGCTTATAAAAAGTCATTTTCACTCTGATGGAGCTGTGATATATTTGAAGGCACTGGTTAAAAATGACAGCCGGCTTTGCGAAGTTTCCCATCCTCCGCAGGCACTGCTTGGGAGCTGGATTCTGAGAGCCTATTTAGAACTTTCCCTCAGCAACCAACCATAGCTCATAGAACCTGGCTCCTGAATGTCAGGTGAATTTAATTGAATTGCCTTGTTTTCCGTGTCGTGGTATTTGTTACCCAGTAAGTGATTCAGTGCAACCAGCCCATGCCAGGCACCTGTCACGGGCCGGTTTGTCTTCCGAGGCAGTGAGGGATTCAGTCGGAGTGAGACCCATCCATGAGCTGGCGGCTGGCCAGCTGCCCCTTCTCCAGAGTTTGTCCTCTCTGGGCCCCAGCTGCACTCCCCGGATGAGAACTTCGGTGATCGAAACAACGGTGTTTCTGCCCTGGTGGAGCTGATGAGGGGAAGCCAGCTGTTTATTCCAAGTAATTCCATGGCCCGTCACATATGGGGCATGTGGGAAAATGCAGGGAGTCTTTGAGCTCAGGCAGGCTGTCTTGTGGGGAGGAGGAGCTAAGGAAGGGTCTCCTGAGAAACTGAATGAAACTTAAAGGAGGGTGAACATTATGCGGGGAGGTGAGAGCATTGTTTGCAATGAGAACAGCATGTGCAAAGGGCCTGGGGAGGATCCTGAGCAGGGGACATTGAAGGGTGAACAGGAGGCCAGCGTAATTGGAGTCAGGGATGGAGGAGGAAAACATGAAGGTGGCAGTGCTGGAGTGAGAAAGGGGAAAATTAATATTGGACCCAGGACCTTTCCACTGAGCTATATCCTCAGCCCTTTTTAAAATTTTGACACAGGGTCTCTCTAAGTCACTAAATTGCCTAGGCTGGGCTCAAACTTGGTATGCTCCTGCCTCAGCCTCCCAGCTCCTGGGATTCCAAGTGTGCACCACCACGCCTGGCTCTCTGAGTGTCTCTGAGGGCTCCTGGACAGCACAGCCCAAACCACTCTCCTATCTTCCAGGAGCCAGCTGCGCCCGCAGGTCCCCGGTGGGCAGGACGGCCCTGCACGTGGCCGCAGCCATGGGCTGCCTGGACTGCACCACACTCCTGGTGGAGCATGGGGCCTCCATCCACGACAGGGACGCCCACGGGGAGACCCCCATCGCTGTGGCCCGCCGCCTGCAGCACAGGCAGACTGAGCAGCGCCTGTTCCTCCTGTACTGGATCACCAAGGTGGGGGCCAAGGGCCCCAGTGAACTGACCGCGAGGAGGCTTTTCCCACGGGCAGTTCTGGGTCGGGGACCGCGGGGACCTGGAAACAGCTACCCCTGAAAGTCTGCCCGCCTCGGCCCCACAGGGGCCCTGCTGCTCTCAGAGCAGAAAAACACAGCTCCTCTGACTCAGACACATGTGCTCTCCTGCTCGTCATCGGCTCAGGGCGATGTCGGTGAAAGAGGTGTTTGTGCTCATTTAGTAATTTGTTACCGGACCTCAGCCTGCCTTTAATTCTAAGCCATTTGTACATTGTGTCCAGTCACACTCTTTGGGGTAATGGGAAGCCAGTTACCTACCCTCCCTCCTGTCTAATGCACCAGCACGAGGAGAGTAATAACAATAATGGTAATAGCGCTATTGTTACTGAACAAAACAAGTGCCTGGGAAGCCAGCCGGTCTCACAGAGTGTGGGCTGGGAGCCGCAGTCCCGAGACCTGGGAATGGAAGGCTCCCAGGGCTGGTGACGTCCAGAAGTTTGGCCCGGCCGCCTTGGGGGGCCTGACGCGCTGACGAGGGGGCGGAGGTTCTCTTGAAGGGGCCCCTGCCGCCCTCGTGGTGGGGCGATGTGCTGGTGTCAGGCGGCTCCCTCTTCCTGCTGTCTTCGGGCAGTTTGTCCTCGGGCTCCTTTTCCTGCCCTCCTTCCTCTCCCCGCTAGAAACCAGATCTGAGAGCTCTACCCGATGCTCACAGCCTCAGGCCAGGGCCCGCCTGCATCGGGGGAGAGGGCTAGGGGTGCCATGTGGCAGGAGAGCCGGCTCTTTTGAGGGCCAAGCCTGGCTTTTGGAGCGTTTACCTCCGATTTCCCATGTCGGCTGAAGTTTTGAGGACCGAGCCTGGTATGGAGGAGCTCTCCTGTGGGACAGCCGTGTGTGGCCACACTTGATTGGCTCCCAGGGGAGCAGCGCCAGGCACAGCCTAAGTTCCCCAGGGGTGACTCATGCCTCTGAAGCAACAGCCAGGGAACAGCCAGGGCGACCCGTGTGGCCCTCCCTGGCTCTGTGTGCTTGCTGGGGCTTCGTCCCAACCCCTCTTCCGGAGCCCAGATGTGAGGCAGAGGCGCCTTCGTGGGGCACTGTGCCTGTCACGTGGCGGGGGTGCTCAAGCCCTGCCTGCTGTTCTTTCCGACTCACAACCCAGGCACTGGATTCAGCTTCTCAGTCAGTGGGCCATGTTTCCTGCTGTCAGAACGAGTAGGATGTGTTGGCACTGTGGTCTGCTTCCAGTCTATGTGGCTGTGCCCGGCTCAGCAACCTGTTTGATAAATAAAAGGGGTAAAATACTTTGGCACCAACGATGTCAAAACTGAGGACCTGCTTTCGGACGGTGTACGTGATCCAATGTCAACAGGCCGGACTGCAGGGCCACGCCACGGACCGGCGCCCTCACTAAGGAGCAGGTGCGGGTTGACGCGGCCCCCGTGAACTCATGGTGGCATCAGTCCGGGTCGCGTCTGCCAGGAGCAGGCTCTGCTCTCCTAGTTGTCGGGAGAGCCAAGGGCCTGGCGCCCAGGCACAGCGTGGGGTGTGCACGCCCCCCAACTCAGGTGGCCGCTGGCGAGTCTGTGGCTCTGGCTGGTGAGAGCTGGGCCCTGGAGTGCACTCCTCGCGCCTGGCTTTGGGGTCCAGCACATGCTGGGTCCTCAGTTGCAGCCTCCACATGGCAAGAACAAGACCAACCATCAACTCCCCCAGTGCCCACTACGTCTTGTGGAAAGCAGCTGTGTCTCCCACAGCCGTGGCGACCTGCAATCCGCGTCCTCAGCAGGCTGTTGCTGTCATCGCCAGCTCTAAAAGGGTCCCGGCCACTGATCCATGCTGAGAAGCACTAGGGCCTGCCGTTGTGAGCAGTGGGTGTGTTTCGGAGCTGTTCCCTGAGCGGTTTATCTGGAAGGCGTGTGCCACACTCGCTGCCCAGACGCGGCCCCTCAGGGCCTCTGCACACCTGGGTCCCAGGCCACCCCAGGCCTGGTGCTTTGTGTTCTGTCCTCAGTGGGCTACTGTGCAGGGCAGGGCCGCTGCCACTGTCCCCTCCCGGTCACAGGCCTGGACGCTCCTGGCCGGGGGCAGCTTCACCACTGGGGTCCTTTTGCACGGGGAGGGCATCCTTTGGGTGGCCCTCGGGGGACTGTGGTGTCCCTTACCCTGCGTTAAGTTACCCTGAAGTCTCTTTCAAATTGCTCTCAATGCTTCTGTTGCTAACAGAGCCTCCGGCACCTCCAGATGGGAAAGCCAGAGCAGAGTCTGTAAGCAACAGAGCCTTGCGAGCACTAAATGGCAGTCTCACCCTTGGTCTGTGGCGGGACAGCTGTGCGGTCGCAGAGCTGCCGGCTGCCTCCCAGGGACCAGCTCTGCACCGTGGGAAGAGCCTGGCCTCGGGTCTGGCAGCTCCGGCTCCCGATTCCCCTCTGCCATCTGCAGAGCACTGGCACCTCCTATGTTTATTCAGATGATAAACCTGCCCCCTGGTGTCCCTGGAGGGAATGAGAGCCTGGCCCTGCAGAGACCCTGAGAGAACGGTAGCCGTTGTCACGTTGCAACCAACACCACTTGATCTGCTTAAAATGCTGTCTCCCGGGGAATCAGTCCCCCCGCCGAAATGCTTCTGCAACGAGCCTCCACCTAGAACCAGTAATTCTCCAAAGTGGGAGATAAGTAACTGCCCTTAAACTTGCTGGTTTCCATAGTAAGGGGAGGGCTGTTTCAGCAGCGTGCACAAACGTACGTTTTTGAACTTGAAACTCCAGGGCCAGTTCTGCAGAGGAGGAAAACAAACTCCCTGGTAGAGGAAAATTCCAGTCACCCGGCTCTGCCTCCGCACTGCGCACTGACTATAGAAGCCTCCAGCAGAGGGCACAGAAACCCATTAACATTTAGAAAAACGCCGGTGTTTGTGTTCACCGCAAATGTCAGCGAGGCTGCAGACTGCGCCACTCGGAAGGCTCAGGAGTGGGCCGGGCGGCCGGGCTTGCAGGTGGGCGTTTCTGCCCAGCCGGGAGGCAGCCGCAGGGTGGGCTCTCAGCGCCCTCCGGGGGGCACCCCAGGGGCCGGCAGCCCAGGCTCTGACGGGGGGCTCCACCACCTGGGCAGTCGGAGAACCGCAGAGCTTCGCCTCTGCCCCCTGCCCTAGATCCACCACCTGGGCAGTCGGAGAACCGCAGAGCTTCGCCTCTGCCCCCTGCCCTAGATCACCGGACAGGGACCGAGACCCGCCCGCAGCGGGACACGGAGGCTCAGCTTCCTGACAGCTGCTCTCTGCGCCCCAAACTCGCCAGATGCCAGGCTGCGGGGGGCAGGCTGGGCGGCTATCAGGAAATGACCGAGGCCAGGGGCCAAGTTGCTGAGGAGACTGTGTGCCATAGAGGTGAAGCCAATCAATGTCCGCATGTGCGTGAAGACCAGTGTCAAGGGAAACCCAACTCCTAGCACTGCGTGTTGCACGGCGGGGTGGGGGCGCTTTACATCCTCCTTAATTGTTGTTTGTTCCAGCCGGGACCTTCCACCTGCAAGGCAGGCGGCGGCACCACAGAGCTGAATCCCCAGCCCCTATAACTCGTGAACTATGAAAAGTGGCAGGTCTCCTTTTTTACTGTGGGGGAAGACACAAACTGTAGCATTCTTGACATTTAGTATATTCACAATCATGTGCAACCAGCACCCTGTCCACCTCCTGAATATTTTTATCACCTCCCCCCAATAAAATCTCTCTCTCTCTCCCTCTCTCCCTTTCTCTCTCTCTCTCTGTACCAGGGATCAAACTCAGGACCCCGTGCTTGCCAGGCAGATGCTGTGCCACTGAGCTAAATATCCAGCCCTAATAAGAGCTCTTTTCATCCCTCTTGGTTTCCCTCCACCCTTAAATAACTACCAGTCTACCGCTGTCCATATGGGCTTGCACTTTCTGGACCTTTCACACAAGTCAAACGGTACACTCTGTGGCCTCATTCACCCGTCTCAAGGGTTAGCCACATGGGGGGCATCTCAGTACTTCATTCCTTTTCGTGGCTGAGTAATACTCCATGGCTGACTTGATGTTTAACAGCATCTCTTCCTTTTGTGATAAAGAAAAACACTAAAAGTGGAGAGGAAGGAAAACGAGGACCCCTCCAGGAGTTCCCGAGTTGGAGTTAGAGCAGGCACCCGTGCCCCGAGCACCTCGCTCTCCTTCCCAGTGACCCCAGAAAGGCACATGCTCAACTGAGTGGAGAGGAGGAGTTATGCAGATTATTTTTAAGAGTAGGAAAAATTTATTGAGAGAAAGAAAGCTCTAAGAGAGACAGAAAGGGGACCAGAAACTGGGTTGCCCCTTCACCCCACTTCTCAGAGATGTTTTATACAGCAAAGCCATGTGGTGAGGCGGGTACAAAGTGGGACAAAACTGTAAGGAAAATTACTATAAGGAAGCGCTATAAAGAAGTGGGGGCAAGACCATGGCCAACCCAGGAGATGACAAGAACAGTCACCCAGGTAATGTTGATTAAATGGGGGTCAAATAGGGGAGCGAGTCATGCAGCAAGCATACAAGGATTTTCAGTAAGGGTGGGGGGCAGGGCCATTTCCTGGAAAGGCTGGCCTAAGACCTCGGCCTACCAGCCAGGTGACTGAAACCTATTTAGAATACCAGTCACTGCCATTTACCCCCAGGGGAAGCACAAGGGCGTCATAGTTTCTCTCCTTTTACAGTTCTGGCCACAATGAAGGTATCTTGACTGTCCTCCATGTTGGCTCCTTGAGGGCGGCCCTGTCTAACTGCCCACAAGACATCTAATTAGCATACCTATCTGCAATGGTCCCCCCTCTGAAGCAGTACCCCTAAAGTCTCAGTGCAGTCTCAGATTCCGCTTTCCTCACAAGTCCCCAGGAACATTGGTCCTGAGTGGTACTGAGCGAGTTCTATTTCACACATGTCTGTCATTGAGGAATCAGGCTCAGAGAAGGCAGCAGCTCGCCCAAGGACACACAGCATCTAGGTGGGGCAGTGCGATGATGGCCCCAGGTCGTGGTGTGAAGTCCCTGCCAGGGCAGCGCTGGGCCGTGCGGTCGCCTGCTCACTGACCTTCCCCGGGTCTCTCCCCACCTGCAAAGCCAGAAAACGCCTCACCTGTTCTCACAGCACTGGGAGCTCAGCCCGAGCACACCTGGAAAAGGCGTGATGGGCTGGGCGGCACCTGCGGTGCAGGATGCAGGGCGGGCGAGAGCTACTCGGACCTCAGATCACCTCCTCCTGGACTCCAGAAAGAGCTCCAGCGCCGCCGGGACGCGCCCCAGGGTCGCGAGCATTTTCCACGCTCTCAGTTCCAATTTCCGGAAAGAAAAGGCTCCCAGGTCGGCCTGGGTCGGCTCCCGCCAGGTGGCGCTGT